TCTTAAAGCGGGAGGATGACACACGGGGTAGGAACATATATCCAAAGTTTCAGCCTCCCAGCTTTCTTGATTACTGAGATGAAAGTGGATGACAAAATGCACTCGCTTTCCGAAAACACACACAGACAGTCTCTCGACATTATGCGTTTTTGCTAGCTGTAACAGCGCTATAGCGCTGCGCAGCAAAAACGTATAATAAAACCCTGACGGTAACTTTTGGCTTTCCATAATGAACTCGAAGAACCTCGGAGCTGAATTTGAAAAATTTAAGTTGTACGTGGGCTGGGAACATATTCCTTTTAAATTTCTGCCTTCCGGCTTTTCTGGTCCCGATATAGCGACTTTCCTTCCGAAAACTTTTACGGGGCCAAACTTGAGAACCACGCATAAGTGGGGCTGAAGCCTTTAATTTTTACATTGAAGAGGAACATTCCCTCAAAATTTCAGCTCTCTATTTTCTTCTGGTTCCCGAGTTCATGATCCTCCCGCCAAAACTTCCACGTGCTCGTACGCGAGGCTCAGAGGTGCGTAAAAGTTGGTACAGCGGTTCTAAGGTGGCATTTGGCCGGGGAAAACAATGGCAAAATTTCAGCGCCGGAGCTTGCTTGGTTGCTGAGCTGAAATACATGAACAGACACACGCGCAAACACATACACACACAAACAAACATGCACACACACGTACGAACAAACGTGGGTCATCATAATATACGTTTTTTCATTTACATATATGCAAAAACGCATAAAAACGAAGAACGAAATGGTGAAATGAATTTTAATTTCTCATAGGCAAGTGTCAGAACAAACTAACCTTTTAGAACAGGCTGAGACCTGAAAAAGCAGATGTACTGAAATAAAGGCGATTTTTTTTGGAAAGTTGATTAGAAAAGATACTTGATCTTACTTGAACGAAACAATCGGCGGCAGCCACCAAAGTGAAATAAACGGAGCACGTTTGAGCGGTCATGCCTGCCGGATAGACAATCGGTGATAGAGCGCCAAAAACTAGCGACAAATGCAGCGAATAGCGCCTAATACTATCAATGCAAAATAAAAATATTGCTGTACATATGACAGCACTATCGCTGCATCCCAGAGCGCACAAGTATAGATTGGTTGATGAACGCATCTCTGAAACACATCGACACTCAACGGAGTTACGTGAGTGGCGCAACAGCTCTCATCTCATTCCTCGCCTTGTCTGACCTTACTACTTGAAGCAGTTCTACCAACAAACCAATTAATAATAAATCGAAATAAAGCGATACCAGGTCGATAATAGATGAAAGCACTCAAACCATTGCCAATAAGACCGCACAAGCCAATCAGCGGAAGGAAGAAGCCAATGAGCAATAAATTATAAACAATATAAGTGGGATCGGAAGCAAACACTTGGCACATCCCACAGTGCGGCAAGCATTCCGAGAAATTTGGCCATGCAATTATGTGCTGCGAGTATAGTAGCTGAACGCGTGAGAATGTCTCGTTGGATTCAGAACAGTCAGGAGGAAACACCGCATCCGGCTCCGACTCCAAATAATCTCCAGTCGCCTCCTCCATAACTCATCGGCCTTGAAGATCATGTTTTTAACTTTTTACTTGCTCAGCTTTAAGTGACTCGACACATATCGAAAACATTTGTAGCAAAATCGTTTTTGCATATTTGTACACGTGGCGACGTGCTTGTGCGTCCTAGCATAAAAACGATGAAAAATGTACGATGGTAAGATCGCGCCAGCGGAGACGAAGAAATTTTGTGATCTTTATTTTTAGCCACCAACTGCATACGCAGGCGAGGAGGTTTGGGAATGTAGCCAATATTCCTCCCTGAGGAACATTATCGTGACTCTGGTATGAAACTGTCAGCAACAGCAAGTCAACTT